TTGGACATGGCCAAACTCGGCTCCCTCTGGCAACAACTGGGGTGTTGGGACCTTCTTGAGGCAGGAGAGAGGTGTCTTGACATATCCTGGTTTGTCTGCATACTTCCATGCTTCTTATCACATGCGGGTCTGCGAAATGGTGCGTAGTGATTAGTCATGACACTCCTGAGCATCAAGCTGATCTCTTTCTTGAAGATGATCAGAGGAATGCCCCGCTCTCCCTGCAGACTATCTGACGCACCCGGCGTTCCAAAGCTATGAGGAGGAACTCCAGCGTGTTACCCTTGCGAGTGCCAAACACATCGTCCAAGCCCGACAGACTCCACGTCACCAAAAGATGCCAAAAGCTAAGAACTGCCTTGGCCAAAACCACTTCAATACTTGCTAAGAAGCCTTGGCCCTCGGAACTTCAATACCTCGGCTTCTTCATATGCCCGGCCTCACCACGACCAATGACCCAGGAGGCCACTGTCTGCCAGGATGAACTGGAGATCCTCCTGAGACAAGAGGTTGGTGCTGATGCCAGGGAATTTGTGTCACTGACATCTTCCCTCTTGTTTGTCTTGCTGCGTTTCACAATGCGTTTCATGAAGCTGTGCATTATATATATCACGTGTTCGCAATCCTCCCCACCTCATTGGTCCTGATTCCAATGCTACACATCGCCATCGCCAAAGTACCAACCCTCCGACTCCGGCCCCCCGGGCCTCGTGAGCATCTCTTTGCGCTCGGACAGCAGCACACAACGCCCTCCAGGCCTGGAATAGGAATAGTAACAAGTCACACAACTGTGTTGAATGGTCAAAAGCTGTTTTCAGAATTCTTGATGATGTGAAGATGTCGACATTCAACACTTCACCTAGAAAAACCACCCGGGTTCCAGATTCCAACCTTTGGAATTTCAAGCCATTTGTCTTGCCCGGCTCTTGCTAGGCGTGCCAGCATTCTAGCGACCTCGGTCCCTGCCTGACGATACGTTCAGCCAGGCGGAGGAATGAAGAGTAAGACCTGAGGTTCTGGCGGTCGTTTGAACCGTCTCTGCAAAGAAGCGCTCTCACTGGTGTTTCGAACATCCAGAAGCCTTCCACCACAACGTCTGAAACCCTCTGGCAACCTGTTGCGTGAACAATCACCTCCTAGGTCCTACATTGGGTCCTACCACATCCTCCTCATCCTTCTTTTGACAAAGGGTATGACCTCAGGCCGCCAAGGTGCTCGAGGTCCGAACTAGCCTGGGTGGCAAAATCAATGAGGCAGTTTGAATCTCAGCGGGCCTGTTCCAACAAAAACAAAGGCATCGAATGCGGTTTTCCTCTCGTCATCCCTCCATCTCTCGACTCCCTCGACGCCCGGTTTCCTTGTGCGCTGCACCGCTCGGCAAATCACAAAGCAAAGCATCGACCTGCCAAGCAAAGCATCGGTGTCCCCGTTCGAGGGCTTGGCAGGGCGTGCCCGAGAGCAAAAGCCTGTTGGAGTGTTGCTTTGATGAGTTTTATATGCAATGTATTGTAAGATATAGTAAGTATAGCAACAGTACAGTATATAATTGCTACAGAAAGAAAAACTCACATCATATTAAGAACCTGAACCTAGGGGAGTGAGCATTTCAAAACATACCTGTGCAGTACTTGTCAGTTCTTGCAATGCAATCTATCAAATGAGAACATCTTCATCCTCAGACTTGTGCTCAAGGCTGTACATCCTATTCCGCCTTTTCCCTCACTCTCAGGATTCTCCATCACATCAATCAGTACCTTGTGACGATCTCCCATGTTGAGGCGATGGCCGAAGCATCTGGAAGTTCAGTGAAGCTCTTGGGGTCCTTGGCGACCAAGCTTGCAAACCCTGCCGATGTGGAAACTCATCCTTAAGCCAACCAATGAGAATGGTTGAGCACTATTTCACAACGTTCTGCGAACATCAGTGTCCCTTGGGATGATACGTCACAGTGCCAAATGAACTAGCCACCAAAAGAGCGAGAGTGCTTGCACAAACAGCTGCTTTAGGTTCTGCCCTAGCATGCCCTAGTTCAAAAATGATCTGAACCACAAGGGATTTCCGGGGCCGTGGACCCTGCCATCCTTGAGCTGCACATCAGACCTGACGTCCAGGCGGGGCGCTGAGTCATGGAAAGTGGTCGAGGCCAAGTCGCCGAAGAGTGGCGAAAGGTCAAGCGCTTTACAAACAAATCCGCTGTAAAAAAAGGTGGAGTTGCTCCGTTTCGCTGTCCTGCTGATCATTTTGGTTGCGAATATGAATATGTCGGGTTCTCGAATCCGGAGAACGCATTTGGTCAACTGAGCGCTCTGAGGACACGACATGTCCAGGTGGCAGGAGGAAAAGTTGGAATAGCATTTCCTTAACACAAACAGGCACAACTTTTCAAACAAATCCGGACCGTGTTCTATTGTGCCCTGCAGTCTTGCAGCACATGGCCGACCTAGCCTGACACTGCATGACAAAAAGGGGGAGCCAATTGATGTGTTTTTCTGTGCTCCTCCTCAAGGATGTTGAATCTTCACGAGTATCAAGAGTAGATCTCCAGGTGACATGCAAAAATGAAAAACTAACCTGACACCTCCCAGGCTGGTGAACTGCAAGCATAAAGTATGTCCCATCTCCTCCGATGCATCGTTTTGATCAAATGCTCTTAAATCTGTTTGAAGTGTCTTTGTTCGTTGATTTTTAAGCATTCTTTTGAGTTCATGTTGGATGAACAAAGGCCTACCAGACCCACCATGCGCCGAGACCCTACAAAAAGCGAGCAGGTGCGGGTTCGTGGTGCTTTCTGGTCCAAGTTGCTGGAGCTGGCTGGGATTCATCTCCCGCCCTGCCGAAAGAAAACAAGCGGTAGCACCGAGGAAGCTCTTTGAACCTACCCAAGCCAACAAACTACCAGTGTCACTGGTGATCAGGTGATCACGTGATCACTCATGTTGGGAGTCTGAGCTGACGAGACCCTTCACATCTACTGTATATATATATATATAACATGCCGCAAACCTACTGGACCGTACATGACCGAACCTGGACCCACGTAAACCTCAGTCAGTTGAGCTGCCGGACCTACCAAACGCAGGGGCCGTCCACCTCACTCCCCGCGTGTGGCACCGGTCAAACTGAGCTGGTTGGACTGCAAACATGCCCGGGCTCGCAAAAAAAAGGACATAACATGATGCAAGGACCCTTGGGACAGGGGAAAAAAAAAGAAAATGCTGTCTTGACAAGAAAAAACCAACACTTGGACGCGGACTCACTTGTGGCCAAACTCGTGCCGCTGCCTGAAGGCTGCGTGAGTTCAGGTCGTCGTGGTTCTAGTCAGTTATCTCTTGTGTAGCGGGTTCGAATCGGTTGCGCCAGGTAACCGGTCCCCAACTGACTGCAGCTTGGGGCAATCAAGAAGAGGCCGGGAACCCGGGCAAGTAGCAGGGTGCCCATGCCGCAGGTGGGGTCCACCTGAATAGAGTTCAAGTTCTGTCGAACCCCTTCCCCAACAAAGTCTGACTCTTGGATCATTCCTGTTAAACAGATCTGGCTAAGGATGCTTTTGTGGAGCTCACTATCATTTGAAGGCTGTAGCGGTAGCCACTTTGGATGTTGAATCCACCACCCAAGGACCTTGTGTTCCGTTGGAGATGCCCCATCAAGAGTAGTCTTCGCTCGTCTCAGCTTCAGGCCACGATGCTGGGGCCATCCATGGTCTCGGAACAAGCAGATCGTGCTGAGGCACTCAGCACCAACTTCAGCGCAAAATGCTTCAGCACACTTGTGGTTAAGTCAGTGAGCCGACCAAATAGCTGTCATTGCCAATTCAGTGGATGCTGGGGTACAAATCGTGCCCTGCCTGTTGGATGCAAAAACACCATTTTCGTGGCAGGAACACTTGCCGCTTGCTCACTTGCTTTCGTGGGGTGTCGATGATTCTTAAACTCCCACATCTACATGTCTTATGGTGATGTACTGTATGGGCATGGTGATCACATTTTCAGCAAGGCTGAATCACCTAGGGTGCATACTGCGACGCATTCAGCCGCCAGGGCTGCCATTGCCTTGGCAGGAGCATCCGACCGATCGAAACCATGTCCGCTTTGGGATTTATCCGGGCATGACCCTCCTCCTCAGAAAGCACGCAAACGGCCAATCTTTTGGCCGCGAGAGCCGATCGTCTCAACTGCGCCTCTGCCCTGATCGACTTGCAGCAGGCGTGGGCCCCCCCAGTGAGGGCTGTTCCCGGTGAAACGGGGCACGGCGGCCCTCTGTAACTGGGGCAGGTGAGGTGGGTTTGGAGGAATCCATGAACAAAAGTCCCCTTCGCCAGGGACCGGGGCCCTGATGGGTTTCATAGTGATTTTCTCATCTTTCTCCCCTTTGGGATGTCAATGAGCAGAACTCTGATGACATCTGATCTGAAAGCCGCTCCTCCAACTGGCCCAACCCCGCCGAAGAAGCCAAGAGTAAGTCTACCATAGTCTACGAAATGCGCTTCCTTGCGCCTGGCGTTTTTCTCGCCACTTGACCGTGATGGTCACAGGATTGGGGCATGTCAACCACATGCCCGGCAACGACCTACCAAAGGAAATCTCCACCTTCAAATGCAATCACAATTTGGGCTCGTGCAGGCGCGCTATGTCTCCAGCAAGGCTTGGCATCCAAATCGGGGTGTTCTATGTTCTATTAATTGTAAGATGTGGTCAAGATCAACACCATTGTGCACCTAAATCCAAATGGCTGTCAGTTTGCGTGTCACCATGTCCAGCCTTTGCAGGGAGACGTCTTGAGTGGACTCTCTCATTCAACGGCCCATGTCCACCCCCAACCCACGAGGGAAGATGCATCCTTCGCAGCAGTCCTGGTGGATTGCAGGTTGCTCCTTGCGCCATCAATGGCCTCAGCAATGCTTCCAGCCTGCAGGGATTGGACATGGACTTCTTGAGAATTTGATGGGTGGGCAGAACTGCTTGATTCTTAAGAGAAAACATGAGAAATCCGACATGATCTTCCTACCACAAACGCGAAGGTTCCTCCTTGACGGTCATTTGGTGGTGCAACCGTTTGCACCTGGGGGGCTCGCATAACTCGCGGCGAAATCCCATCGTTACCCAAAACCCAGCCTGCTCCACGGAGGCCTCAGGCACAGGGGCTGCACTGTACGCGCGTCGGTGCAGGCGCACGATGGCGAAGAGCATCAAAGGCATGTGGATGGGCACCGTGAATTTGAAGAGGATGGTCCCCTCAGCCAAGCCTAAGGCCAAGCCTGCCAGGACAATGGCCACTCAAACTTGTCTCACAACGCACAAAAGGAAGCGAATACAACTTGCAGTCTGCCGGGACAGAATGAGCCTAGGCTTAGGAGTCGCTAGGGTAGAAGAGCTGGACCAAGTGGCCCCCTTACTTGACTACGCACAACGCACCCCGACTTCGCTATGCTCGCGGCACGTGGCCTTTGGAGTTGAGGTTCAGTAGCTTGGTCATGCCGCTCCAGAGGCGGTTTGAGCCCGCGGAGGCTGAGAGCTTGTCCTCAGTGCGGCAATACCAGCCGCTATTGACCACCTCTCTCTCGAATCCCCCAGTCATCTAAACAATCTCAAAAGGTATGTGTAACGTTTATACAGCAGTGTAGTTGTTTGATACTGCCATTGGCCGTTGGCTGTAAGGTGTACAAGTTCTTTGGTAAGCTCAGCGGGCATGGTGCTGAGCTGGCAGTTTTCTTTTGAACCGCATCTAACTTGTCAACTCCTAGCCATTGCAAGAAAACCACACATCCCGACCACCTATCTCCTCTCGCTACTCATTCCACACACACCTCACACCTTCGACCAGGCATCAGAGAGCCGCCAATACTTTGCGGAGCTCCAGGAGTACCAGCCAACAGGCCCCGGCTTCACAGGGACCTCAGCTGGAGGCAAGAATGGACAGTCCAGGGCAGAGAGAATGAACAGGGCCCGAATTATGATTGTTGATTGATTCTGGCCAACGCGTGCCTGCAAGCACTGGTGTGATCTGGTGTGGTGCATTTGGCTCGCAGGACGCAAAGTCCTTCAGCTGCCCTATAATTTAGACCCTCATGACTTCCAATTTGTTTGTCACAGATTGTTCTTGGATTGCGTCTGCGATTGCCTGTCAGTAGCATTTGTTGAATCAAACTGGACCGTCTGAACCTGAACCCATGCCTTTCCACAGCCGTCCCCCATGTCTTCGCCCAAGGTGCCACGCCCAGCTTATGCCGCTCCTGGGTCCTAAGGTGTTGCCATCCCGCCAGCTTCCAGCTGTAATTGGCCGCCTGGTAACGGGCCCGGGCATTGGCGATCCCCTTCTCCACGGCCTGCCACGGCAGGAGGTGATTTGCGCACATCTCTCATTGCCATGGTTCAGTTACTAGGGCATATTAGGTCCCCTGGTTATCCCAGCCGGTGCCATGTTAGGAACATCTAGAATCTAGAGGCCACCAGGGAGGTACTGTACAGGAGGAGTTCGGGCATCGCCATCCGGCAGGTCCTGCATCCTGCCTTCCTTGCTCGGTCAGGCAGCTTCTTCAGCCAGTCTCGAGTTCTCATCCGTGCACTGCCCGCAGCACGAGCATCGCTATTCCTCACAGACCGCATTTCGTCAGTGATCGCAAATTCCGATAAAACAACATGTACAAAGAAAATATCTGGGGAGAAACCTCATGGAACCTCAGTAAAACAACAATGAACAAAGGCTGCCAAAACCGTTTGTCAATAAAGAGAAGATGATTCACCCAGGCTATCGCTTTGGAGTTTCGGACCCTGGCCACACTTTCATCGCAGCTGAACGACCTGTTAAAAGCTAAATTTAAATTGGCATGGTTATCATATGCTATCACTTTTGAGGGGGGGGCACGTCGCTTTTTCAGGTGTCACCCAACTTCTTATTCACGACCACTCGTTACGAAATGTGGCTTTGGGGCTTTGGCGGTTGTTCTCATCAGTCTTTTGGACGTGACGTGTTAGTTGCTTTTATCATCTCTCTGTTTTCTCGTGAGGCCATACTAGACAGGTGAGCTCAATTATCTCAATTCAGCTTCGGATTCAGCAGTTCCATTAGCAGTTCCATTAGTGGCAGTCCAAGAGAAAAACCACAACCTTTGGGACCCAACGAGGCAGTTGGAAATGAACTTGAGGCCTTGAGGACTCGCTCCCAGCCCATGACCTCACGAAAAAGAAAGAACGTGCCTCACATGATCCAGCGCTTCAACAAGCCAAAGACGTTTCCTCTCCTTAGCTAAAGAATTGGATGACACACAAAGGAGTTCCCTACAAGGTGCTCATGTGATCTCATGTGTGCAATTTATGCTGCACCATGTCGTTGTTCACATCCGCTCGGAACTCGGTCGCCTGTAAGCGAGGGTGGAGATCTCAACAATCTAGACTTTCCACTCTGACAGTCTGATATGCTCTGGAGACATTGCAACGCCCAGATTCCGAGAAGGGCCGCGTGCGAGATAACCCCAGCAGTGCCTCTCGTCTTGAGAGGAAGACCCTTCGCAGCGGCCGGTAGCGCACGGCCACTGCCACAGAGGCCGCCCACATGCAGTACCTTGGAGATGCATGGAGGTCACTGACCCCCGAATCTGAAGTGTGCACCAAAAGGCCAAAAGGCATCGCCGTCCGGGCCTTTGGACACGGATCAAATCCTGTGAGCTTTGCCGGGCGCATAGCCAAGCTACTTGGCTCCCAGAAAGGCCGCGGCCACTTTTGGCACATCTTCAGCCTCGAGGCCACACTGCTGGAGATATCCCGTCAAGAACTGCCTTGGAGACGTCGGTCGGACTGGAAGGTTCAGAAAAGGTGGACCCACAACACCATCGCCAAATCTTGAAACTGTTGCAAAAGGTGTTGTTTACCCGTTTGTCTTCCTATGATTTTTGTGTGTGGGTTCGGATAAGAATTGGACTGATTCACTTCCTATGTGATTCCACATTTGGCAAAGGTGAGGTGATCTGTTCAAACCGAAAGGCGAGCCTGTATTGCAATTTCTCAAAAGTTAAGTTTCCCTACAAACCCAGGAACCAAATCAGTGTGAGCGCTAGCCTGAACAAGGTTGTCCCTTACTTAATTAAGTAGGCGCCTACTTAATCAAGTAAGGAGACGCAGCCACGGGCCTTAAAAAAAAAAATGCTTACTGCAAATCCCAGTCGCCCAACCATCGAGCAGTGCCTTGGGCAGCACTCGGCCTTCTAATGTTTGGAGAAGCTGAACAGCTGCAAACGGCCGTCGGGACTTGGTCCAGGGATGTCCATGCTTCGCGTTCGACCCGGCTTTGGGGGGGGTTGTTGATATTTCTTAGGGATATGTGAGAACTGCTCTGGGAAAACGACTTTTCGATCAAAGTTAGAGCAGGTTTGTGTCTGTATCAAAAATAACCACTACATAAGTCCCACATGTGTAATTAAGTAAGACAAACTCAAATCTCCAATTACAGTAAAATTGCCCTGCAACCTGCTCCAATACAAGTACATGAATATGTGTGACACATCAGTGGAACGAAAGCTTCCACAAGTCGCGCCGTTTTACGTGCTGGGACCACCCAACGCCAGCGATCTGCGTCTGCATGCCTGGCCGTGGGAGTCGACCTTAGCACGTTGTGAAGTGACCCGCAGCACATGAGTAGACGGAGATGCCTTCTTCGTCACATCAAACAAATGAAGATGTACATCAGGCAAAGTCCGAAAACAGGTGTCAAAGAAAAAGCGGAAAAGACGTGACTAGCAACCCTAGTGTTCGTATGTCCCATTAACCCACGATGCATGCTCCAATTGGAGACGCGCGGCTCCACAGGATGGCCGGAGCCTGGTGAGTTTCCACCTCTTTGACCTCAGAGAATTGAAGAACTTCAGTCGCTGCCAGAGGCGCCTAGATGTTCTCTACAAGCAGGAATGCTACTAGTAAGGCCAGGAGCTACTGGTAGCGTCCTTGCTCCTAGTAGCGATGCCCTTTGTTACAAAGAATGCTACTAATTGCTACTAGTAGTAAGGCCCTTTGTTACTAGAAGCGATGCCCTTGTTACTAGTAGCTTCTTGTTACTAATAGCACTAGGCGCTAGACCCTACCTATCGTGAAAGTGTGTGAGGTGGTTAGTGTCAACTGGGAAGTAAAAAATGCGCTCAGGCCCCCAACCTCCACTCCAAGCGCCACATGGTCAGGGGCAAAAAAGGCCCAAACGCTCACCTGCATAGATGTCATACATGCAATTGTATGATATTGTATGTGCATACTGAGTTGAGCTATCACTATCCCAGCGCTGCATTGTGAAGCTAGCGTCTACATTGAACTTTATCGTGTCTTGCAGCACCAGCTTTTGAAACTACAGTCACGATACTGTTTGCCTGACTATCGACCCATCCAAATGCCTCAGCGTTCGCCGCTCGCGGCTGGAGCACCTGGCGGCTAATCACAAAAGGGAACGGACTCCTTTCAAAAGGTGATGAAAAGCTGCAGGTGACGGTGACTCCTACAAATTCTAGTGATGCGCTAGCTCACGAGCCCAAAACATTCGAATCCGATTGCTTTGATGCCACAGAGGGGCCCTAGGGAATTCTTGAGTTTTTAAGTGTTGTTGAGAAATTTTGTTCCATTGCATTTGCACAAACATGATCAAACATGTGCCGATGCCCTTCTGACATTCTCAGGACCAACTGACTGAGAAGACAAAGGAACATCGCGGAACAATCCTGGTGGCGGCACCCAGCCAGCTGCATCCTGAATTCCCTGTCGTAGCCCCTGCTTCAGCCGAACCCAATCCTGACAGGAGCCAGAAGCACGTGCGCCAGTGAGTCGACATGATTGTGCTTGATCGAGCTTTGAAACTTTATAGACTCCTTGACAAGACTCTACTAGTAGCTTCTTCTTACTAGTAGTAATGCCAGGAGCTACTAGTAGCGTCCTTGCTCCTAGTAGTGATGCCCTTCGTTACTAAATTACTAGTAGCGGCTAGTAGCGATGTCATACGATGCCCTTGTTCCTAGCTAGCTGGTCCTCCATGCCGAGCTCATAGTCACATGTTTCCAGCGACTCGCCACCCCAAACACTGTGTCTTGGCGTTGCGCATGACGTCACCGTCACGTCACCCTTAGGGCGCGCTTGACTTGGCGACGGACCAGGCGCTCTGAGGGCCCCACTGCCCGATCTCCAAGGGCGAGCCTCTCAGCTCCTCCTTGGCCCACGCCTGAGACGACCAGTGCGTCCACGGAGAGCCGCACACTGAGATACAGTGGATACAAGTGTGCAACCCGGCCGTACATATGAAGTTTCCGAAGGGATGTCAACTGAGTTGCGATCTTCCACTTTGGATGAATCTGACGCGGAACATGGCCATGTGGCAAAGGGAAAGTGCTTCTTCCGCCTGTGATACCTTCTTGTCGAACAGAGCCCCACACCAAAGCCCTCGACATCGCCAAATCACACCAACCCTGTGGTTCATCACCTCATTTCATTCATTCCGTATGTTGTAATCTCATCTGGCAGAACACCAGTATCAAGGGCCTCCGCCCTCCTCAGCTGTTTTATCCCCTGTGCTGTCTGTCAATCACACTCCTCCAAGCCAAACAACTGTCTACAGCACGTTTGTCAATGGGTTGGGAGCGGGGGGGCCATCAATTGGTCCACAGAGTCTCCCAATACATGGGTACTTTTTACTGAATCTGTCTCGGGGCCAGTGGAAGCAAATGGACTTGTTGCTGTGAACAGCTTGTAGCCCGCGAATTTTCTTCTCCAGCAAGGCTCTAAGCTCAGTTCCCTACGACAGTCCGCGGTGAAGCTGATGGTCCGCCCAGGAGGGTTAGCACCTTTGCAGTCGCAAGACTTTGGAATATCCAGCATTGGATTTGGAGGCGTCCGAGCAACCACACACCAGCGTCATGAAGCATCATGGTCATCAAAATAGACTGTCATGGGCAGTCAGGCAGAGGAGGCCATGTGGAACTGTCAGGGCTCCCAACCTGGATCGTCCTCCTTCTCAGCACACAGAACCATGTAAGCCGGCAGCCTCAGAGCATCAAGACTGGTACTTGACTTGTCTCAAACCCTCCTTGATCTACATGGTCCCCATATGCTTGGCTATGGCCCGCCAGCTGTTGTGGCTCTTCAGCACCGCTCCACAGCTTTCTCCGCTCCACAGCTCTCTGGCAATCGCTGAGTCCGGCCGACCAACAACCAATTTCGGGCCAAGTGCCCATCCTGCAAAATATAATGCATATAATTATATTATATATAGATATATATAGTTTATATAATTGTTAGATGCATAGTTTTTACATGATGGCCCCCATCACTGATGATTCTTTCAAATGCTCAATATGTCCAGTCTTTTAACATTAGAGAACGCAGAACCGCTGTTCTGTTAGTTGCTAGTGGCTTTCAGTCACTGGGCTGCTTGAGGTGATGAGGTGATACGGCAGGGGATGTTAAAGCTGCACTTTCCGCGGGCCCCTACGATTGTCGGAGATTTTGGCGTGCAGCATGGGCCACATAGCTGGCCTGGGAGGCCATCCAAAATCCAATCAGTGTACCAATGAGGTGCCAAGGAGACGTGACATGACCCAGCTACCTACAATCATTGGACAGCAGTTGAGGAACCAACAAGCTCTCCATCAGGTGCTGACAGCCATGATGCAATGTGACCCCATGTGACCATGGTTTGCATCAGAGTCCTGGCGACGCTCGGCTGGCTAGACCCCCGACGAAGCTGGCATTGGGATCCTTTGCGTCTCGCACCTTCTGCAGATCCTTCCTGGGGCGGGTCGCGTGGAGCGTTGGTCGTGTGGAGCGTCTGCGCTACACTACACCTCAAGCTGGGTCTGGCGGGATTGGCAGGAACGGTTGGTTCCAGCAAGTGGTGTGGAATCTTCTAGCTCCAGTTCCAACCACGCCAAAAAAACTGCAGGTAAAGGATCTTGCTACACCGTGGCCAGTCGAGTGCCCTACAAATGTAGTTTTATAAGTATAGCACTCGCAGTGCAGTTTGGCACTCCATACCACACACCTTCACGGCCTGGAGCCGATTGTCACTTCCATTTCCGGCGAGTCGGTTTTTGAACGAAAGAAAGCTCAAGTGCCATTCCTTCAAGCCAAAAGGAATTCTTTCTGTAAAACAGTACGGGGTAGTACCTTTTGACAAGCATTAACAAGAGGCCCTTGCCTTAGTACCTTCCTCTAAACGAATGTACATGGCACTCCGTGTCACCCGACCCCAGCAGGACAGCGAAGACAGCAAGGAGGCGGCTGGCTCCATGCCTCGGCGCGTTCTTCGCTTATCGCCGTATTGGGAGCATTAGAATTGTTGGGAAGCAGGTGCACTCTGACGAACACATCACATGGAAGTGGATGGCATGGTCCCTTGGAAGACTACTTTCCTCTAGAAACAGGGTTTTTCCACTTCCATGTTAGTGAGTCCAAGTGTATCAGGAGCATGCTGAGGTTGAAATGCGGGACCAGGCACAAACCTTGATGTTGGGATGTTGGTGCAAATTCGTGTAGTCATGGTCCAAACGGACAGAGACTCACCTATGAAACTCCCTGTCGAGTATTCACACGAGGGATCACGGGTGTTGGCTCCCAAAAACATAGACAACCCAAACTCGCCACAGGATTTAGTAACAAGCCACAAGCGCATTGCTGCTAGAAACAAGTGCATTACTACTAGTAGCAAATAGCTACTAGTAGCACAAATCGAACTCTGTCGATGTCTGTTTCTGCCGCACCTTCCGCCCCTAGAGGCGTTTGGTCCTACCTGTTCATCTCTTGTTGGTTCATTTTGGTTACCCTCCATGCCATTGCGCTTCATCCGTATCCCTGGCACACCTCGTCTTTTCCATCACGCCTCCTACCCTCCCAGCGCGTCTTACGCCAGGTGGGATCTAAGCTCAGCCCCTGGTCCAAAACGTTGGACCCTTGAAGGGCTCTATATCAGGAGAGTGTGGAGAGCACTGATTTGCCCCACATTACATTACATTACATTATTATTCTTATATAATACATTTGATATATTGGATGGGCTTCCAGACACGCTCAGCTCCTCGATGATTGATGATTAGTAAGAACGATAAATGCTTGAGAACAATGTGCATCCAGGAAAGTCAAAGAATTGTTTGCCTTCCGCTTTGAAGCCTTGAGCTGAGCTTCTTTGGCACGATGAGGTCCAGCTTTGGTGCGAGCATCTAGTAACTTTATACAGTAGGCCCAGCAGAATGTGAAGTCTGAAGGATTTCCATGGGGAAGTGGACAGAAATCAAAGCTCCCCCCCAGCCACCACTCCAGTGACTCGCTACAAAAGCCTTGGGTTCAGTTGCTGCTTGTCGAAGATTCGCCGAAACACATCGATGGGAGCATCATTCTCGGCTTCCTTCACACCTGAAAAGAGACAAAATTACTTGGGGAAACTCTATCTTCTACCGTCCGCGTGTCTACTCTACTTCAGATCGCGGCATTTTGAGCGGCATAAGATAGTTGTCGGGAAGGTTACCTGGCAAAACTACACTGGAGCTCGGGAGGTTCCAAGTATAACAATGCTGATCGACCTGTACTACCTGCAGAGCAGCTGAAGCAGGACACTGATTTGATTGAGAGAGGATTCAATATTCTCTAAGGGTTTTTCTGCACACAACATTTGTTTGCCTAGGCCGGCCGCCTTTTGTAGGGCGACGCGGGCCCCCCTCCGGGGCACTCCAGCACCCTATCAACTCACCCAGTGGCTTCCAAGGCTGGCATCATGCTGAGGGAAGCAGAAGTGGACTTCGCTGTAGAGCCAGCCAATGCGTATGTTCTCGACGGTCTTCCGTCCAGACAAAAGCCTCACCACAGGGAGTGAGACGCCGGCTCAGTGCACGTCCGGGCTTTGATTGGTTAAAATGCCTCGCCCTGTCTTGCGGTAGAGTTCCGAAGAGGAGGTTCAAAGGCTAGGTGCTAGGAAACAATTGAGAGCGAGCAATCGAACGGGACCAGAGTCCTTGCTCCTAGTAGCGATGCCCGTTGCTACACTAGTAGCTTCTTGTTACTAGTAGTAAGGCCAGGAGCTACTAGTAGCGTCCTTGCTCCTAGTAGCAATTGCTTCTTTTCTTCCCGGAATCTCAAGATGGCCCATCGCAGCCCAGGCACTCCGCCAAGCATGTGGCCACTAGCTCAGCACCAGGGCCATCTGGGCGGTCGCAGCCCCATGCCTGTGCAACAGTAGAAAAAATTGTTTTTGAATCAAAACCCAGGACGCAGTGATGCTGAAGGTCTATACAATATTAGGCAGTTGCGGCTTCAGCCCCTCAACGGACCCCACCAGGGTAGTTGGGTTTTGAGAGGGTGGGTGGCATAACTTGACAGGACTGCACTGCGCAGATAAGCCACACGCTATAAGAACCCTACATCTTGATCACAAGTGCTTGCACACATTTGGTTGCACAAAGACTGGCCTTTACCTGGCAAGTTTGTAAAACATACAAATATGATCACTAAAAAAATGAAATACATACACTACACACTTCATTTCCTATGCAAATATGCTGAAAATTAAGCAAATTCGGGATACAACATAGTCTTCCGGGTGCTTCAACCAAGGACCAAGACCAAGGGTAAATCTTGCCGTCATCTTCGTAGCAACTCTGGGGCAAACTCGGATTACAAAGGCACTCTGTTTTCACCAGAAAGGTCGGATCCTCACACTCGACCTCCCGCATCAACCACATCACCTCCATCCAACTTGAACTGCCAGGCCGCCCCTACGATCAGCGTAGTACACCTGGGGTCGTAAAGCACTGGCGTGGCGAAGGCAGACACCAAGGAGTCAGTCACGCACCTGAGTTGAGAAGAAGAATGGACGGGGCATGGCCGGGCATGTCATAATGTTGTGAAAATTGTGCTAAGTTCCACCCACCAACAATTGGCGCAGCAAGCTCACAATTATGCTGATTCGAGGTGGCCAGCATGCCGCCGCTCTCAGCTACCACCCGCTGCCGTGTTACTTTCCAACAACAAACTAGACGCTTGGAGAAATAGCTGGCAAATGTTGTATTTTGATGTATTTAGCTTACATGAACCTAGATGTGTGTAAATATTGTTTATGGAGATGATAAGTGTTCGGAGCATGTGCACAAAAGGTTGGCATAGAACTCCCGGAGACTAGCCTGCCCATAGGCATATCCTAGGGCCTAAGCTACCCTGCCCAGGCCTATGGGTAGGGTAGGGCTGGGCCTATCATAGGCCTAGGGGTAGCCTAGGCTCCCGCTGATAGGGTCTACCCTAGCTCGACTGTAGCCCTATCTGTGGGCGTTCTGTGTGAAAAGGTTGCACATTGCGGAAGGCAATCAGGCTGATGATCCCTACATATGTAGGCTAACGTACACGTGCACCCTGGTCCATAGGATTGATTGCAACAAACATCTGGGAAGCTGAGTGCAGAATTATCTACAGTCCTCTGCTTGGCAGATCAGTTGCGATGTCTTGCGACACAGTTCAGATATTGAAAGTAGAAGCAAGAGGCACAGCCGGGAAGTCCCTTCGGTGACGAACCTGTCGTGACAGATTTCCAATGACAGAGCTGCTCAAGGAGTGTCAGTAATGATTCCTGCTTACTTAAGAAAAAATGCAGCTTGTAGCTGTGCAAGGTTATTGACACAAGTTCTATGTTGCTCATTATGGATACCAAATTGCTTTTTGTCACTTTTCCGATCAGTGCCATTTCAATCAGCCAGTGTGCCTCGGGTCTACTGACACGTTGGGCATGTTGAATTCTCAAGATAACAGTACAATACCTGGCCGGAAAAGAATGTGTCGGTCTTTGCAGCCCATCTTATAGTAGATGGGTGGATAATCCATTGGATTGAAATCAAGTTTGGTCAGCGCCGCTCTACCCACCTGACTATTGGTAGCTTATCCCAGTTCGGGGCATCCCTGGATCGCACAGCCCAGCAGCTTCTCTATCTCCTCGGCGGACCACTGCGCCGACGAAGGGATTGCAATGCTAAGGACCTTGGTGGGCACGGAGGCATAAAGGTCGACAAACGCGGAGAGAGAGGAGGGTGGAAAAACTGCAATCAGGCATGAATATGCATGAATATGTACATCTACAAAGGTCATATGTCGAGAATACATAAGACATATAGCAGCTAGAGTCACTCCAACTATCTCAATAAATGTAGTACGAGGCCTGCTCCAGCGAATTATTTATGAGAAAGCACTTGTTTCTAAATGCCTGTCCTTCATTCAGGTGCGGTGTTGCTTCTGTTTTGTTTGTCGTTGTCCAGTGGCCTCACACTTGTTTGCCTCCATGCTAGGCGCTAGAAAAATTGGCTGCATCCTACTTCATGATGTCCCCATCCCACGGAGGGCCAAGACTAAGAAAGTTGGCATTCCAAACTTTTGCAGCATGAACTTCTCAATCAACGCCTCAAATGTCAGGCACTTGGTCCGATCGTATGACTGGGCCTCCATCCCTCCCACTCCATAGCAACGCCACTCCGCCAAAGAAGGAAACAGTTGAGTCAAACCTATGTCTCGCAGAAGCTCCAAGCCGTGCCACTGGCACCGTGCACGTGGTGGAAAGAAGATCGAAATCCTGGCCCACTCTCGTAGCGGAAAGGAAGAAATGGGCCAAATGGGTCTCCAAAAAGAATAATCAGTTTCGAGACAGCGAGATGGCCTATATGTATTACTGATGTAATACTTACTTGTCAGTCAGTCTAACGGTTTATGATGTTTTGTGAGCTCAAGCCTCGACAAGTCACACGCACAAAGCTGAAAAGAAGAGATGTTGTTGCTGGCGTCCTTCTCCACACAATGTCGCAACTTCCACCCTTCAGGAGGCCAATCAAGGGGCAGGCTGTGTGCCTTCTTCTCCTTTCCTGGCTTTGTCTACTTTTTGGCCTCTGACTCCGGATTTGGGGGGCACCTTTGCCATGCTTTCCCCATGCCAAAGAAGGTCACCTTGAAGAAGTTGAACTCCACTAGGAATCCAACAAAGTCCGCGTCGGTTCAACGCGCCCTTTTCATCAGCGGTGCTTCCAAGGAATTCGCATGAGGTGAATGCAGCAGCTGCGCTTTGACAGGGCCGTGCTCAAAGCCGGCTGTGCCAAGGTCCCATTGCAGAATTTCAATTGCAAGCCCCCCTACGCTCTCCTCAAGGTTGCAACCTGCGCTCCTCAAAGGTAGATATAGTAGGTTCCATTGACCAGCCGCCCCCCAGATGGGGGGGGTAAATTTCATGACAAGACAGGGTCAAAATGTCTCTGTGGCTGGCAAGACAGCGAGCAAAGGCTTGGTTCAAAGAGGGTGTAGATGTCAAGACTATGGCTGGAACCTGGAAAATAGGCACCAGATATAGGAATGAAAAAGACACAGAGATACCCAAAGTGTCAAGACAATCGATTGCAAGGGGACATATGTAAGCTTTGGAAAAGAAGAATGAATAATAAATAAGAATGAAATATATATAAAGAAAGAAAGAGGCAGGAAGAAGAAGGAAGACAATAAGTAAAGAAAAAGGAATAAGAACTATATAAATACAAATTATAAAGAATAAAGAAAGAAAGAACAATTGAAAGAAAGAGATACAAGAAGAGGAAAGAAGAAAAAAAAGAAGAAAAACTAACTAAGAAAATAGATAACTAAAGAAAGAAATAAATAAGAGGATAGAAAGAAGAAGGAAGGAAGACAGTGTGGGGGCAAGAGTCAAAATGCCTGTGTGGGTGGCAAGACAGCATGTATCGTCCTGTTCAAAGACGGCGATGGGGATTGTAAGAGGCACCAGGTATAATTTGATATAGTAATCAACAAGACCAAAGATACCTGAAAGGCCAAGACAATGCACTGTACAGGGGATGTGCAAGCTTTTGAGAGAGGTCAGTTTGCGCTCAAAGCTTTGCGGGTCGGGGATCATGTCCCGAAAAGCCAAGACCAACAGCGCGGAAGCGACCCGCAGCAGCTCCGGAGGCTTGTATCCTCTTTGGGTGGTTTTTAACAGGTTGGGCCTGACTTTCATGAACTAATATACAGCCTTGCAATACCATATGTCATCTATGGTCGGAGGTTGCTCCAAAAATGTCAAGACAATGAAACCCACTATAAATGATACTGCTTTGGCGTTAACCTCGACTGCATAGGCATAGACATGTTCCAAAGCAATCACGACTCCTTGTTGCGTGCACCGTTCTTGGCCAAGCATGACGCAATCAAACCCTTCGGCCATGATAACTGCCTGGCCCTCCCCGCCTGACTTACACCGCCTCGGCAAATGGTGCACTCAGGTGTGTAGAGCACAGTGCCTCGAAGATTGGCAGTTCAAAAGGGTTGCAACCCCGACAAGAATACCAATTGGATCCAATTGGTGATGTTGCAATGTTCAAGAGCTGTTCAATCTGTTTGTTTCACCTTACTTTCCAGGAAGACTGATCGTCCATAGTGGAGGCTCCTCTCTATCTATCTATCTATCTATCTATCTATCTATCTGCTAGGGGAAGTTGTGGTGGTATGTCAATTATTAATTTCTGCCTGCTAGGGGAACAACTGGCCATCCAAGCAGTCAGCTTCAAAATTTGAAGTCGAGCCAGGCGTGCAGGTGTGGAGAAAAAGAAACTTTGATATTTCCAGGAGACCCTCTGCACTCCAAGGCACTCATCTCCTCAGGGTCATTGGAAGAGGCACAGGCGGCAGGACCAAATGGGCACACCGGTGAGGGGCTTGTCATCTGAAGTGACTTCAGCAGGGCGGGCACTTGGCAGTAAAGTTCCGTCTCCTTGGAAGGCAAGTTCATTTGCAGAGATAGACTTGTGACGCCAAGCGCTGGTGAAGAAATTACTTTACTTCGAAATTCCCCACCCTCAAAGAATTGGTCTTCACAAGAGAAAAGCGGTTCGGCGCGAAAAGGATTCTTTATTGAAAACAAAACCACACATCGAATACTTACTTGTGAGGTTTCTGAACTTCGATTTTTTAATGCCTGGCAACCCCACATCCCTGCCAAGTCAACTTGTGGTGGATATGCTGTGGAACTGGTACTTGGGAGCACTCTGGTGAATGTGCTGGTGTAAAGGCTACGCGGGCTACTCGGGGCCACTCTGGTGGATGTGCTGTGTTCTTTGGGTTGCTCTGAGCTACGCTGGGACCACTCTGGTGGATGTGCAGAAGTAGCGAGCCTACTGAAGTCCAAAGTTCTTAAAATCTAACAGCCCCACAGTCCTACGGGTGAGAAAAAACTGCGTACAATACAAGTCTACAACTATCCTGCGATCTCTTTGGTAAATGTGCTGTGGAGAAGCTAGGTTGCGCTACTAAAAACTGTGGTTGCTGTGGACCAGCTAAGTTGAACTACTTAGAAATCAGTTTGTGAATGTGCTGTGGAAGAGCTAGGCAGCTAGGTTTAGCTACTCAGGGATCAGTTTGGTGAATGTGGTGTGAATACTCAGAGGTCATTTTGGTGAATGTGCTGTGGAAGTGCTACGTTGAATTACTCAGGGATTACTTTGGTGAACAGGGATCAGTTTGGCGAGCGTGCTGTGAAAGAGCCACTTTGGGCTACTCAGAGATCACCTTGGTGAACGTGCTGTGGAAAAGCTAGCTTGAATACTCAGGGATCACTCTGGGGAACGTGCTGTGGAAGAGCTACTTTGGGCTACTCCGGGATCTCTTTGGTGAACATGCTGTGGAAGTGCTGCGTTGAACTACTCAGAGATCACTTTGGTGAGTGTGCTATGGAAGAACTGCTTTGGGCTACTCAGGGATTACTTTGGCGAGCGTGGTGTGGAAGGGCTAAGTTGGGCTAGTCAGGGATTCCTTTGGTGAACGTGCTGTGAAAAAGCTACTTTGGGCTTCTCAAGGATTACTTTGGTCAACGTGCTGT